CCCACCAGCCACTCCTCGGAAGGAAGGTTGGGCAATCCTACTTCCGTAGTGATACTGCCTCGGAAACCCAAGGAGGGGTCGCTATGAGTTGGGCTGACTCGACGGCACATAACAACAACAACAACAACAAATTGATCACTGACACTTTCTTTGTTATCTCTAGTCTCTTGGCTCAAGGGTTGGCCCAAAACCTGGCAAAGTTTTATAGAGAATTTGTAGATCCCTTTTTCTGAAATGGGGCCCTGAAGGCACAGTGGTTAAAGCACTTGACCATTAACCAGAAGGTCAGCAATTTGAACCCATTACCCATCCGTGGGAGAAATATGGTGGTTTACTTCATAAAGATTTACAGTTTTGGAAACTCTTTGGGGTGGTTCTACTCTGTCCAATAGGGTTGCTATGAGTTGCAGTTGACTTGACGGCAGTAGGTTTGGGTTTTTCTGATACTCTTCTTTCTGAGACTTACTTTCTTGTGGCTTTGGGTTCTATCCTTTGGTTTTTTAGGCCAGAATAATGGAAGATCACTGTAACTGCATCCTGCTTTTAGACTAAAGCCATTAAAAATGGTAACTTACCCCTAGCTATTCTTGGCTTTCAAATTTCAAATCTCTCAAGTTCCGGTAAGATGGCGGACTAGGCAGAAAGACTGCACAAACCTTCTTCAACAAAGAAAAGGGAAACCAATTAACACAGACACAGAAGATAAACCTTGAGCCTTGAAGGGAAGGATATAGAAGTGGACTAAATCTCAACTAGCAGAAGAAAATACCAAAAAAGACAGACAAAGCTGCGGTCTGGCAGTGATCCTGAGCGATCCTGATGGCACAGACAGCTTTGAGAGTGCCGAGTGGCGGTAGGACCTAAGAATTAACCTAAAAATCAGCCTTGCTAGCCAGGGACTGCATGGAGGACCGCTCTGGTGACTGGGAAATAAACGGAGAAGGTGAAGAGATACGCGGCTGAGCTGTGGACTTTTGCCTGTCTGGAGGACGCTGCCATTTTGAATGTTCACAAGCGGCTTGATCATTTTGGATATTTAAAGAGACAGTGCTCTTACAGATTCCAGGGGCTTAAGAACAGGTTCTGCTTGCCAGCAACCCCAAAGACACCCCGGACCTCCAAGACTGAAAAGGTGCAACATTCCTCTTGTTACTCTTATACCCCACACGTGCTTGGTGAACGGAAGTGCGGCCATCTCCCACTCCCACCTACCTTCTGGGCCCACAGGAACTCCATCACAGTGTGTGTGCTCAGATGGAGCCTGGGTGCCCTGCCCTGTCCTCCACCGATTTTTTTTCTCTTTTTTATTTTTTTTCTTTTTCACTTCCTTTTTTGTGGTGATTA